GGCGGCGCGCGGAGGAGGGGGGAGGGGGGCGCCATGGCGAATTGGGTGGTGATTTGGGGGAGGGAGGGAGGAGAGAGGAGGGAGGATCAAAGGGGGGAGGAAGACAGGAAGGGAGGCATGTTTTTTTTTTCTTCTTTACTTCTTTTTTGTATTTCCTAGAGAGGGATTTATTTGAAGAAGATATTAAAAATTACTGATTATTTACTTTACTTTACTTGCAAGATAACTGGCAGTTTCACTTGTTTCAATTCAACCCCTCTTTACCCCAACTGTACAAAAAAATGTAAAAGAGAAACTATGTGTACAAGCCAATAATAGTAACACCGTTTTCCTTCCGCCCTTTCTCTTTTGTAATGATAGTTGACGAACGTCAGCTGGGAAAGGATGGCAAGCGAACGTTTTTTTTTCTTTACAATTTTATCTGGTACATGAGATGGAAATCATGTCGTTTTTTTTTAAATTTGTCACGAGTTCTCTTAAGAAACCGCCAACCCCATAGAGCTAACCTTGCCGTCCAACACGGTCGCAAACGATAACCCCTCCCAACGAACGTTCGCCAGATGTTGCGACGTTCGCCAGATATCGTGGTCCTTTTCTCTTTCCCCTGCAACTTTTTGCCGGCTTCGTTCAATAAAGCATTGTTTTTTCTATTAAAAAAATCAACTGTTACATTTCACATCATTACTGCCATTACTATCTAAACGGGCGCGAAAAGAGATTTGGGCCATTGGTTAATTATAAGAAGAAGAAAATTTTGGCCAGGCTCCGGTCCGGAGTATGCTTGGGCACTTGTGGGACGACATGTAACTTCTGATATTTGAGTAATGCAAGAATTTACTCACAGACAGAAGAAGAAGAAGAAGAAGAAGAAGAAGAAGAAGAAGAAGAAGAAGAAAGTTGTCCACAATTTGTTAACGGAAAACCAGTAGTATAACCCGAAGGTTTTTCTGCGCGATTCGGCGAGTCTCGGCTAACATCACAATCATGAATGTTTTTTTGTATTACTAAGTTTTTTCTGATTTATTATCGGTTGCTCGTGATGCGCTATGCTTGCAGCACGCGAATGCGGCCCCGTTTCATGTGAGCATTTGTGTGTCTGTTGTATAGCCGCTAGCCGGAGGCGGAGTAGATGGATAGATTAAACCAGAGTCAGCGGGGGTCCATTTCAATTGGAAGGGAGAAAGGAGGACGGGGAGAATGTTTTGGATAAGAAAGAGGCCATGCGAGGACGCACCCACTACGGATGCGGAGACGGCGACAGGTCTCTCTCGAGTCGAGACGCCCACTGGATATCAATGTCACTGCCGATTGGACTAACCGTGCGACGGCAACAAGAGTTAAATTTCTGCCTTCTGCCTTCGGTTGTACAAGTACTCCCTCCTGGCAGTTCTATGTTAAATGTCTTTTAAGTTTGACCAGGTTGACTCTTCTTCTTTTTTTTTAAACGAGGCAAAAGACTCGCCGTTTTCATTGATTAAGAAGAGAGTGAGATTGCCCGCTTAACTGACGAAAAATCAGGATAAGACCGGTACAGCGCAACCCACGTAACGTGGGCGCCGACACGGAACACAGAGCTGTGAAGAAGAGAAGACATCCGCTGAGGAGTCGTCAGGCGTCGTCGTCATCACCGGTAGCCGAACGGGTGACTCCGACTTCATCGACATCTGCCGAGAAGTCGTCAAGCGCCATCATCATCACCGGGAACCGAACGGGCGACTCCGCCTTCATCATAGAGCGCCAGCCTCGAAGCCAAGCCAGCCCGCAAACAACTGTTGAGAAGCCATGGCGGCACATGCCAACGGAAGGCCGCACGCGCGAATACCGACACCTCCGACTTTGACGGCGAGCTTCGCAAGGGAAAAATGTAGGACCTGCGCCGCCCGTGCCCCACCGCAAACGACCACCTAGTGCATGTCATCGGCACTACCTGGACTCGCTCCATCGCGGCTCCGACTTCAAAGCAACCAAGCAACCCACAGAAGAGCACATAGGACACGCCGGGAAGATCCGATAACCGAAACACGAACCGCGACCCAAGCTCCTCTGGACGCCATCATCGTTGCCAAGTAGAAATCACCACCCCCAAAACGTCCGCCTCAGCAAACCACATGGCGAAGATGCCGCAATCCATCGGTCTCAAGTTGTAGCCGGCTCCGAGACGATGCCCGCAAGGAGGAAGAAAGACCTAAAGACGTCCGCATCGCTCAATCCCGCGGATCTGAGGTTTCCCTCTGGAGCCAAGGCCGCGGGAGGAGGGAAGGAGCATCACACAGTGACAATGCTTCCAAGAAAGAGCACGACGCCCGCGGAAGTCGCCTCTCGCGAGATACGGGAAAAGCCGAAGATAGGGCTTCTCCCAATGAAGCTCGACCACCACTATCCCGTACCCACGAACAACCACCCACCAAACACCACCAGAGCACTAAGCACCCAGGGAAGCACCTCCCGGCAGCGCCCGCACCTGCTGAGGCCGTGCTGCACGACCACCAGGCCAGCAGCCACAGCGCTGCCGGAACCTAGATGCGCTAGCCATCAAACTCCAAACTAGCCGTGGGATCCCAATCACGCGCCGCCCTCTGGCCGAAGCCGCCACCACCGAATCTAGGGTTGCTGCCCCGGCAACCGCAACCCTCCGAGGATGGCGGAAGCCGCCGCTGGGATAGGAGCGGCAGCATCTGAGACGCGACGAGCCACGCCGCCAAGGGAGCCACACCAAAGCCACCATGCCCGTTGTCCAAGCGACTCAACCGGGCACTGCACCATGTTGCAGGGAAGCCATCGCCATCGTGGCGTCTGAATCACAGGGAAAGAGCCGTCGAGGTTTACATTTATGTTTTACTAATATCTGCAACATCAAATATACTTCATAGTATATGATGAAACATATTCATGGTGAATCGGTAAAACTTTAAGGCCTCCTTTGGTTCATAGGATAGAAATATTGTAAGAATAGAAAAATCATACGAAGTGAGATGACATGCATCTCAATTCCAATAAAGAAAGAGATGTCATTTGATGCATAGGATAGGAATTTTTCCATTGGGTCTTGGCTAATGTTTTTCCCCCTCCAAAATGTGAAGGATTGATTCCTATCCTATATAGGAATAGGAATTCATTACTACAAACCAAAGGGCCTCAAAAGAAATTTTCCTATACGAATCCTATCCCATAGAAATCCTATGACATTCCTACAAACCAAAGGAGGCCCAAATATGTTGAATCAAAGAGTAAGTTCGTATTCATAGCACGAAGGGTCGACACTCAAATACATTTTGCACAGCACTTTTACAGAAACACTGGACTAAACAAAAACAAAAACTTATTTTACATTTCTAATTCATACAGTCAGCACAAATGACCTAAATAACACGTGATGAAGACAAGTATGAAAGCCCATTCGTCAAATCATGATGCTCTGTCTAAAGAGCATAGTTTTTGGTCACTCTTCTCGAAGTCATTCAGAAGGATTTCATAAATTCAGATCGATGAAATCATGCACAAGTTGAGAAACCATCATTCAGCAAATGTAGCCGACAGCCAAAACAACCAGGTCATAGCAGGCTCAGTCTGCTGGATAAACTCCAGTTGTGGTACCATTTCTGGTACAGAATAGATATTACCGTGCCATAAGATTCATCCACAGCAGAGCAGCAGGATCTCATACCAACCACAGCAGAGCAGCAGGATTTCATAAGTTCAGATTGATTAATATCATGCAGAAGTACATAAACCATCATTCAGCAAAGGTAGCCAGCAGCCAGGGCATGACAGATTCAACTCAGCACGGAAACAGTCTGCTGGGTAAACTACCAGTGCCCACCGGGAGTAACATTTGCAGTACAGAAAAGAGATAACCGTGCCGACAGAGTACTCATCAAGCATTCGGCCATGCCAAACTGAAAGTTAAAACGCAAATACATAGCTCGACTGCAGCAACAGGTCACTAGTAGCGGTCGTCGAAGCGCCCTCCTCCCCTGGGGCGGTCATACGGTGCAGGCCTCTCCCTGTAACCTCCTCCCTCGTAGCGACTAGGCCCACCGCTGCCATAGTCGGCGCCGCCTCCACGTGGACCAT